TGAATATACTTTCTTCTCAACAGCACACAGATTCTTCTCTAATATAGACCATGTTATGTAAGACATCACATATGTTGGCATACAATTGTAATATTACCTTAGTATATTTTTAGCATCTGTAGGGTTATTTTGATAGCTCCATTTCCAATGATGTTAATTTTTGTGCTCTTGCTTTTTCTTGATTAGACTTGTTTATGTTTTATTAAATTTTAGCTATAGTCTTTCTTCTCTATTTCATATATTTCTGCTCCTACCCTCATTTTTTCCTTCCTACTACTTCATTTGAAAATAATTTATTATTCTAGCTTCTTTCTGAGACAAGTACTTTAAGTTATAAATGTTCATCTGAGTAGTGTTCCATCCCAGAGATCCTGACATTTTAAGCTTTTATTTCACTTAGTTCAAAAGCACTTTTTATTTACTTTTCTTATGCTTTCTTCCTTGACCTCTGAGATATTTATAAGTGTGCCATTTAATTTTGAAATAGTTGACATGTGGAGGTGGGATTCTATATATTTTAAGGTGATTGATTTCTAATGTACTAAATCATGCAGGAAACAGTCTGCAAAATTTCAAATTTTAAAAAGTAATGAAAATGCTTTTTATATTGATTGTATTGGTTATATACATGTCAAAACTTATCGAACTGCATACTTCAAATATGTGCATGTTATTGTACTTCAATTTTACCTTAAAGCTATGGGGAAAAAATGCCTAGTAAAAATACAAGTCAGTTCTGAAGTGTACACTGGCTAAAGAGGATTCTGAAATAAGAGCAAAGCTTTTGAGATGGCAAAACCTAGACTAATGCTCAAAATTATAACCTGAAGACTAGATCAACCCAGAGCTGTATGTGGGGTCAGTAGCCTAGGCTCCAGCCCAACTGTCACTCCTTGCATGTGTCTTTGCACAAGTCATTCAATATCTCTGGCTTGTTTCCTAACATACTAAACAAGGAGACTAGGCTAGAGTACCTCTCTACCTCTTGGCCTACCAAAACTTGGCCAGACTCTGTTACTATGCCAAGCTAATTTAGGTATGAAAATTTGAGAAGGAAAAGAGAGAGACCAAAGGAGGAAAGGACAGAGAAGAGAAAGAGCAGGACATCAGACAGTGCTAGGAGACAAGGGGCAGGTGGATCATACCCTGGGACTCACGCAGGCCTCAGACACAGGGAAGCACCTCCTCCCATACCCCCACATTCCATGCTGGCCAATGATGTCATTCTGGATTTGAAACTTCTGCCTTAAGCCTTCTGCCTGACTTTGTTGTGCTGAGTCATGTGTTTATTTGCCAGTGGATCCTTCTGATAATTTATACACTACTCTTTGGATTCTACTCCCCACTTTAATTTTATTATTGGCCGACATTTACTGAATGCTATGAACCAATCACTATACTAAATATTTGCAGGAATTATCTCCTTTATTCTTTTTCATTTAAATGTAGCCATTTTATAGGTGAAGAAATGGAGGCTTAATGAGTTAAGTAACTGGTCCAAGGTCACAAAGTGTTAAAGCCAATACTCGAACCCAGGTGGCACATGTACCCTTGACCACCACATCATCAACCCCTAGATCTATCTACTGCCTTTCTGTAAGGGGTGCACTTATGACTGACCAATATACATATACACAGCTACCCTATCTGATCCTAAAATGATTAAAGCCAAACCAACAAATCATACATCTACTTCTCTACCTAATTCACAACCTATGAGCAACCTTCTAGTCACAATGACCAAGAGAAATACAGGTCAAGATCAAGAGTTTGTCTTGACACCACTAGCCTGTCTTCTCACTGGGCATGCCTACTTAACCCCATGTTCCACAGACCACAAAGCTCTTAGCAGAATTTTTGACCCCGCCAATACTGGAGTAAGGGTTTAAAAAGGTTCACAGGAAAGTTCTTGAGGGCCAGCCAATCCCAGAGTTCAGATCCAAATGCACTAGCCACCCAGCCTATTCCCTGTTCCCCCACAAAGGCCCTTGATTTACCATCTGGGTGGCTTTGCTTATACAACTGGAACAGGTGTCATTTGGCAGAAAAGATAAAAAATTGTGCCTGGGCATCAAACATGCCTGCTTTCAAAGTGCTTTAGTCCTTCATCTATCAAACAAAACTAATCATGTCTCCTCCAGAATAATATTGTGAAGATTAATTAAGGTAATGCATATTAAGTGTTCTGACCACAAAAGGTACCCAGTAACTGACAGCAATTATCATTTCCTTCCTTACCCTCTGGGATGTGTTTCCCAAATCTGCCATGTGTTCCATTTCCTTAATGCAAATGGCAGCTTCTCGAACTCCTAGTTGGAAAAGTCCAGCTYAGTAGGTCCAGCACTGATGAGCATCTTCTCTGCACTGAGCACTATGGCAGGGATTGGGATGTGACATGAATAAGATGTGTCCCTGGGGCTGGGGCTGGGGCTGTAGCTCAGCAGTACAGTGCTTGCTTAGCATGTGTGAAGCACTGGGTTCAATCCTAAGCACCACATTAAAAAACAAACAAACAAACAAACAAAAAGATATGTTCCTGATCTTGTGGAGTTCATAGGCTTGAGGAAGATAAGAAAGAAACAGTTCATTTCCATGCCACACAGGCAGTGACACAGGATCCCACAGGAACAGGACAGATTAGTCAGATCATGGAGGGCCTTGGGGGTCAAGACAAGGAGTCTGAGCTATATTCTAAAGGCAATGAGAAGCCACTGAAGGGGTCTAACCAGAGGAGACAAATGCACAGACTGAGACTTCAGGAAAGAGTCACTTAGTAGCAATGTGGAGAAAGAAAGAGGGTATGAATAATCCAGAGAAGATGTGGTGTCCTAGACAATGCAGGAGAGAGAAAAAGGAATAGGTTTCAATGTGTCTARACAGTATAGGTCAAAAGTCTTGACTCTGGGCATTAAACACTGTTCAACCTCTCAGTGTTTAGATATTGAGGAAGAAGGAGCTGATACAAGCCTTAGTGTCCATCACATTTTAAAAGACAACATTCTGGGCTGAGGTTGTGGCTCAGCGGTAGAGCGCTCACCTAGCATGTGACCCTGGGTTTGATCCTCAGCACCACATAAAAATAAATAAAATAAAGGTATTGTGTCCAACTACAACTAAAAAAAATAAATATTTTTTTTTAAAGACAACATTGTGATAGGGCATGTAAAACAACTGAAATTGCACTGTTAATCAATGGACATTCATTGTCACTTAAATGCCAGGCATTGCCTTAGGTACTAGGAAGGTTCCAATGACAGCCCAGTCACGTGAGAAGTATCAGCCAAGCCCAGGGAAGATACAAGCACTGGGGAATGGTGTGGTTTGCCTGAAAGTGAGGACATAGAGTGGAAGATACCGGAAACCTACCAGGGTAAGAACACACAGGGTTTAAGCTAAAGACTGAACTCATGGGAAACCACTGAAGGTCTCCAACAGGGGAAAGGATGAGAGAACAGATTCTCCTCACAGAGAAAAACCCAGAATGTCTTCTTTGATTCTCTTTTTGGAATTCCTGGGCCTCACATTTTCCATTTGGGATTCTTTTTCATGCTTAACAAAGTGCCAACTAAAAGTAGTATAAATAAATTTATACTCATAAGACTCACATACAGTTTTACATATCCAAAGAAAACACAGGGGAAGTATATGAGAGACCAGTCAAACTAAAGAAATATAAAATCCTTAACAAATCAAACTGAGAGTCCTCAAGCACACCAAGAGCATAGTCCTGGGCCTTTCACCTGGAGTGAACAGCTCTGGGCAAGGGTAATGAAGTATCATTGAGAAACAAGCCCAAATTACCACTCATTTCTAAGCAGCTTGAATATTTCTGGGCTAGAGGCAAGTTGCTAAGAGCTGGGAGTGCAGGAACATGCCCTAGACCCAGGGGAAGGCAGCAGTAGTTTTTACTGAGCTCTTATTGCCTGCCAACCACATGCTATATTTTTTTCACATCTGCCTATGAATAGAGGGTTACCATCCTCCCACCAAGCCTGAGTCCCACCTTCCTCACCATACCCTGCCCTTTGGCTCAGGGTGCATCTGGATCCTGCTCTCTTACTGTTGTGTGAGGACTTGGTTAGTTCTTTCCCCTCTTAGGGGGCTTATTCCCCCTGTCAGAATGCTGAAAAGTCCTCTTGCCCCTTTCCACAAAGCATGAGAGAAATCCAAGAGACAATKAAAACTTTAAGTTGAGTGACTGTGGATGGCAGAGATCCTAGGTGTAAGTAGTTGCCTAATAAACACCTAAGTTTTTCATTTCTTTCTCCTTCCACGAATCCCCCAGTGCCAGGGCATTCCTTAAAAAATCAACTATTGCCAGGTGTAATGGCATATGCCTGGGTAACTCCAGTGACTCAGGAGGCTGAGACAGGAGGATCTCGAGTTCAAAGCCAGCCTCAGCAACAGTGAGGCACTAAGTAACTCAGTGAGATCCTGTCTCTAATCCTGTCTACAAAAAAGGGCTGGGGATGTGGCTTAGTGGTTGAGTGCCCCTGAGTTCAATCCTCGATACCAAAAGAAAAAAGAAATCAACTATTTCTGGGGAGAGCCACTTCAACTGCATATCTACATGTGGAATATTTACTATAAATAATAATCAACAGAAAAAAAGACGAAGGGAAAAAAATCCAGTAGACATTAGACAATCCAGAAATCCATTTGACTTCAGTACATATGAGGTTTTCTTGTAATGAGAACATTACAAGGAATTCATATTTTCTGAGGTTCTCACTTTGTTCATGGAAGTCTCCCAAGATGGGGGCAGGGATGCAAGATTCAAAATCCATTACAAATAATACCAAAGAAGATTTTCTGCACATAGACAGTGAAGAGTTGTCTATGAGGTTTTCTCAATTAAACTGAATGACAAAATGAATTTCTGAGACAACTGCTTTTAATTTCTGAGACACTGTCATGTTCCCATTCCGCTGGCTGGCTGGTGACCCCTGGCTCACAGGCCTCTAGCAGCTCCATCACCAGCCACATACCTACTAACCTACCTGCTGGGCTGCCTCATGGAAGAGTTCCTGCACTGTAGACATGTGGGCCATTCTTCTGGAAATGAGATCCTGGTGCTTTGGGTGGGGAGATCCCTGTGGAAAGTAAACACCATCAACAATCATGCTAGCTCCTCCTTCCCTGCCTCCTTATTGTCCATCTGTTCTCCATACAGGGCAAGGCCCTGAGTGCAGAAAAGACTTCTTGTAGCTCTGGAGATTCCTTCCCATGGCCTCTTTGCTACCCACATAGATCCTTCCCATGCTCCAGAGCCCACCTATGCTCAAACGCTGTTATTCTAAAGCCACAGTGCCCCAGCTTGCTTTCTTTTCTGAGCTCCTTCAATATGTGGGGGTCAGAGCTGGCTGCTCAGCCCTTGAGGACCCAGTTTACATCCTCCTGGGTATGTATGTGCCTTAGGAGCCCTTTGTCCAGGGCAAGGGTACCATGAGATCCCTTGAACTGGAGCATGTGGTAAGTGCTTGTGGACTGGACCAAGATCAGCGTGGGGGAGGGAAGATTTGGAGATTATCTTGGGAGATTGAAGTAGGACAAGAATGGGGTAGGGAATGAAGCCAACAGTCAGGAAAAGATTTCTGAGCATCCTTGTAAGAGCATAGTACTCATCCACCAGAAGAGTCTTCCCTTAGCATCAGGCCTGGCTTTCCTTGGGGTAGGGATCTTATCCCCTCATGGTATTTTGGAGGAAAAGAAAGGGTGAGAGAAGGAGCTCTCTGTACTATGGGAAGAGTATGACCAGTGATAGTCGCCATGGATAGTGAGGGAGGGAATGGGCACAGAGGGATATTCAGATGCAAAGAGCTGGGGGCAGTGTTCGCCCAGAGAAACTCTGGGGGAGATCTAAGGGACTTGGTGGCCTGAGGTCTGCCCAAAGCAGGAAGATGGAGAGGGTGCTCAGTCAGCTCCATGCCACATAGACCCTACTGCCTGGGTGCTCTCACGTACAGCAGCCTAGGGGCAAGGACACCTTCCAACGCCCACCCTTCCCCATCCCAGCTGGTTCACTGAGCACAGCCCTGACCCGCCTCAGACCGCCCTGGGGTGCGACCCTCACCCCAGGCTCTGAGGATCGCTGAGGCAGGACAGGGCACCCACCCTGCGTCTGAGGGACCGGGCTGGCAGTGGGAGGAGAGCGTCTCCCTGGGYCGGGGGACCTAGGGGACCCCACGCCTGGATTCTTGCTGAGGATCAGGGCTCCTCCTGGGAAGAGGCGCTGTCCTCGAGACCACCTTCTCACTCCCCGCACTGGTCCCACCGATCTCACCTGTTCCCGGGTCGCGAGCTCCCGGMGCTTTGCCCGCCCCAGCCCCGCCCGGTCGCCACGTGGCTGACGGGGTTTGGCCACTCGGGTCCCAGCTGTCGGGCTGGTGAAGTGGTTCCCTCCCAGTTTCGGGCACTCAACCACCCAGCACCCCTGACTCTCGGTCTAGGTGGAGGGAGGGAGCTACAGAGACTTCCCTCTTCTCCCCCTAGAGTCAGCGGCACAGCTCCCCCTGGCCGGGGGCAGGGCTTTCGCGGACCTGGGAGGAGGAGACAGGAACCTGTACCTGGCGGCCGCGGGGTGGGGTGCGGAAGGTGCGCCAGGCTACAGACTGCACCTGAGCTGCCACTAGTGCAGTGCACCCAGCTGATGCCCCTCCCTGGGACTAGGGGACTGGAGTCTCAGGGAGTGCTGGGGACCACCACAAGCGTGTGCGGGAGACCGCAGCAGGGGAAGCCCACGCTGCAGAGGCAGAAGCATCAGGACAGGAGACTGAGACCCTGCGCACCAGGGGTCCCAACCTCGCAGGGAGTGGAACTTCTTTGCTAGGAAATTGCCTGGGGGCATGCTGAGGTGTGGGGAAATTCCCCTCATCACCTACCGCRAGACCCAGAAACACCTTAACTAGGGGTGAAATAAGGTTTCCTAGGCCTCAGATTGCAGAAGAAAACAAATTAGCATACAGAGAGATTAAATTATCTCCATTTCCAATCTGGTATATTTCCTAAACCTTGAATAACTTGCTAGGCTTCCTTGTAGGCTTCTGAGAAACAGGAGGGCAGCTGGGAGCACTTCCCACACCCACATAGGCCTTTGTGTGAAATCCCTAAAAATAGAGGTTGTTCTTTTAAAAACAAAAGGGAAGGCAAAGCCACGGGAACATTGACAGAGCCTCAACCTCTCTTTTCTGCTTCAGCAAAGAGGTTGTATGTGTGGAGGTATATTACATAAAAGTTACCATTTTCTTCCATTTTTTTTCATTTTCTTCCATTTTTAAGGGTACAATTCAATGACAATCACATTCACAATTTTGTGCAACTATCATCTATTTCCAGAAACTTTCGTCTTCTCAAATAGAAACTCCATACTCATTAAGCAATAACATACCATTTCCTCTAACTCCCACCTAAGGTGGCCTCTAATTTTCTGCCTCTTTTTATTTGCCTATTTTAGGTATTTCACATAAGTGGAATCATGCTGCATTTGTCCTTCTGTGTCTGGCTTACTGCATTGCATAATATCCTCAAGGTTCATTTCCAGTAAAGAAGTTTTTAATAACCCAAGAGGAAAAAAAAAACAGAATAAATTAGAATACTCATCTGTGATCAAAGAATGGATGGGCAGACAGGATAACATACTTGGGGAATCTACTATATATCCATATATTTATCTGTATGGCCAGTAGACTCACCTTTCTTACTTTCGGCTTATACATGACACTTTTTTGTTTGTTTTGTTTTTTGTTTTTGTTTTTGTTTTGTTTTGCCTGAAGCTGGTTTTTTATTTGCTGTCACCTTCTGAAAAGCCTCCAAGCATCAGAGGAAATTTTAAGAATCCACATTCAATTCTATATTAGCTTGTATTAAAAGAGTAGAAAAAGGGCTAGGGATGTAGCTCAGTGGTGAAGCTACATCCCCATAAGCCCTGGTGAAAAAAAAAATTGAAAAGGAAAACCACCCCTCTTCATAATCACCTACTTCCTACCACTTTTCATTTTCTAAATAAACGAGTTCCCTTCAAAGCTTACAAGCAACTTCTTAACATCAGAACAAATGTGTTTGTTCCTTTCCCCTGGTGTTAAAGCTAAGTAGAGAAATCTACTCCTGCCAGGCGCCACCTACACCCACCTGTAAACTCTGAAACTCAGGAGGCTGAGGCAGGAGGATGATAAGTTCAAGATAAGCCTAGGTAACCTAGGGAGACCTTGTCTCAAAATAAAAAAATAAAAAGCTGAGCAGTAGAGCAACCCTGTTTCAATCCCTAGCACTGCAAACAAAACAAAATAATAAAACCTACTCATTTGCAAAGCAAGAAGCATATCCTGCTTAATGTCGATTTCCCTTATAACAATGACACTAACTTAAAAGAAATACTCTTGTGTTGAAAAACAGTATCTTGCATGTCCTTACAAGAGAACATTTCCATTCTTAAGATACTACCCTAGGGCTGGGGTTGTGGCTCAACGGTAGAGCACTCACCTAGCAGGTGCGAGGCCCTGGGTTTGATCCTCAGCACCACACAAAAATAAATAAAATAAAGGTATTGTGTCCAACTACAACTAAAAAATAAATATTAAAAAAAGACACTACCCTACATGAACTAATAGAAGGATGTTCATTACATCATTAATTTTTAAGAGTTGAAAAAAATAAGAACAATTAAAAATCCATCAATAGAAGCCTGAATAAGTACATATGGTATAATCACATAAGGACAGCCAGCATTAGAGAATTAGGTAATTTTATTTGTACTAACATAAAATTGTTCATGATAGGGCTGGGGACATAGCTCAGTTGGTAGAGTATTTGCCTCACACACCACACAAGGCCCTGGGTTCAATCCCCAGCACCACTAAAAAAAAATCATGATTTAACATTGAATAAAAATAGCAAGCTACAGAATCATGTATATGGTGCATCATTTATGTACTTATATATGTAYATAGTTTGCACTGAATATGCTAGCAGTTTTTATATCCAGGGAATGGGATTAAGAGAGTAAAGTAGGAGAGGAAACCATTCTTGCATAAAAATTCTGGGCTTCTATTGAATTTTTTTCCTACAATGAGCATGTTACTTTGGAATCTGGGCAAAAATAAGTAGACAATGTAGAGAAAACTGTATTTTTCAAAGTAGGCTGTACTAATATATCTAGCCCATATGCTTTTCTTACAATATGAGGTTAAGATTCCTTCCAAAGGAGACAGGTCCATGTTCATGCTTATTGAGCCTGAGTGAACCTTTTAAAGTACCTCAACTGATAGTAGAAATGGGAATTCATAAGCTGTCTCAACGGCAATAGGCTTCCTCACTATTGAGCACTTACTCTTCGATTTAGCCACCATGTTGTAAGGAAGCCCAGGCCACATAAAAAGGCCAGATGTGGGTATTCCAATCAATAGCCAGTATAACCCATCGGATTTATGAGAGAAATATTCTTCAGATGAATCCAGCCCCCAGCTAAGGTCCTAGACATTGTAGATCAAGGACAAGCTATGCTTACTGAACTCTGCCTGAATTCCTGACCCACACAAGCTATGGGAGAATAAATTATTATGATTGCTTTAAGCCACTAAGTTTTTGGGTAATTTGTTATGCAGCAATAGAGAATGTAGAATACATCTGACCAAGGTAAAAATGTTTTGTCTTCTTTTAAAATATTCGTATTCGTTTCACTGCTTGAATTCACTGGTATTGCAGCCCCGTTATATAAAATAAAAAATAATTGTTATTAAACTTACTTTTTTTCCTATTCAGTAACAACCCAAGCTCAAGTTGAAGGACACAACAGTGAGGCTGTTGTGTGGGTCTTACCCAGCTCAACTGCAGACAGATCCTCCTTCTTCTTCCTTCCGGTGGTTGGTACTGAGAATTGCCTTCTTAGAAGAATGAAGAATGGTGAAGAAATCATGTCTTAAAGTTGACTTCATTTTTTAGAAAGTGAACTCTGGGGAGGTACCAGAGGTTGGAGAGAGTCAAACAGTATAGAAATGTGAAAGCAGGTTGGAAGCGTTAAATCATGATGTAGGTATGTATGTACACAAAAATATGTCTTTGCAGTCTAAACCTCAGAACCAGAGTCCCAGTGCCACAAG